TGTGATGCATTATACAAGGTGTATAGAGAAGTGATATGGGCAGCAGGAGGAAGATCCTTTCTTCAGGCAAAAGAGTTGGAATCTCAATGATGGCTGCAGGTCAATAGCAATACCACTCTTCTTAATGTTCTCCAAAAGCTTTGGGATGGGGAAGGTTGTTTCTCGGCAGCTAAGGAGTCGATTAACATGTTCACTCTTCAGCCTCTGAGGTATCTGGTGATCAATGAAAGACGGGGAAGAGAGTGAGAGAGCAAATGTCTATTCCCATCCCTGTCCGTTTAAATCACACTGGGTCTCAAGCGTCCTTAGGCCATCTTGGCATTCCTCTAACACACACACACACACATAAATGCATTGTGGAGTGCTCCTCTACCCAAAGGGTGTACTGCCTAGATCTATATGTAATTATGACAAATAGTTACCTTCTTGATACCGCAGGCACTATCACAACTGTAAAATATGTTCGAATTTAATTCTAGAAAATCGATTTGAGTATAAAGGTACTTCGAAGAAGATTTTGGTCATTTAATTCAATATGAAATTTCAATACTGTTGGCAGGTATCAAACCCTGATAAATGCTGCAAGTTAAAACAGTTTAGACAGGCTACCAAAGCATGTGGTGGGGGTGCAGCTTCCTAAGGGGCATTTAACCAAATATTAATTGGGGTCCAAGCCTTGATAGGGGTCCAAGATAGATAGATAGATAGATAGATCCATTAGCCAATTGGCAGTAGTGTGATGGTAATGGTAATGCCTCTTTCTCCCTCTTTCTTCTATCAGGGTGAGTCTGCCCTTTTTGCTATTATGCTATTATTCTTATCATTGAGAGTACACCCTGGATTGATCTTTGGAGAGCAGCCCATTTATTCTCCTATTCTCTGGTATATCTCTGGTTGTGAGCCTCAGTTATGGACATCTTCCTGTCTCTCTGGATGCTATTCTGCACCTCAGTTAACCTGCTAACATGTTTCCAGGCTTCCCTGATTTTATAGTTTTTTTTTCCTATAAGGGGGTTGGTTCCTTCCCAGTCCACTGCTTCCCTTTGGAGCTACAGCTTCAACATGTTTTTTGAACATGTTTTCAATGTTCAAAGAAAGTGATGCACAAACACACAACAGATGAACAGATTCTACAGCCCATGCTGCACTTCTCCATTAATTTTCATTGATCTCAGCATTGTAGCCTTTGTGTCATTTTGATGACACACAGAAAATTTGCAATATCAGCCATGTGGAGGAGCGAATGTAAGGTGGGGCCATTACTTGCTACATTGATAAGTTTCTTTTTTTGTTCTTGTAATGTCATACCTGTCCACTAGATGCCCTCAGTATGTTTTACTTGATACCTGCCTGAACAGATGTTTCTCATTTACTCTTTAAGTCCCCACTGCACAGTAAAGGGAGTTCTTCAACTTGCTAGACTTATGTTATGTTATGTGTTGTTTGAGCTTCAAAGTCTACCTGTTTGTTTGCCTCGTCCATCTGGCGGCTTGTTGCCAGGTTTCAGCCTGATCTTACTGACAATATACTGCCTGTGAAGCCTTCAACTTTTATGGACTCTTCGTCACTTTCCCTCCTACACATAAATTTCCACACACGCACTATTACACTCAACGAGGCTACTTTAATTTGAATAAAATCCAATAAACAAACTTGCCTGGGGTGGAAATGCTAAACTATCAAAGACAAGACAACGCAGGGATCATTGTGCTTGTTATGCCTTTGGCATTCATTCTTGTTGTGTCATTAAAAATGCTTATTGAAGTTCTATTTGCCCTCAATGATGTTGATTTTCTTTTGATGATTCTTTTCTCCTCTTAGCATTTGAGTGGCCCGGACATAATAAAGGCCAAAGCCTGGCTTTATTAAGTAGGTCTGAGTTTATTGCATGAAGTCGTGCTTGGATTCAACACTTCACTCAGGTTCATTCGGTTCTCTGAAAATCTTCTACTCAGAGGTAGCCTAAGATTTGTAAGCAGTAAGCAAATGCAGGCCACTTGATTTCTAGGATAATTCTGTTTTTGGTTCTAAATTATTCTCAGAGCTGACCTATTTGGATTTTCCTTATTTTCTGTCAAATACTGGTACAGTAATAGATGCTCATATTAAACATGGTCAGTATGTGCACAAGTAACCTCTGTGCAAGCCCAAGTATCAGACTGTTCTAAATGCTCGATTTCCATTATATGTTGCTTTGTTTTGTTTTCTTACTCTTGCGTGCATGGTGTTGAAGAAACACAGAGCTCTGCATGTGAAAAGGACAGAACCACCCAATATTAAGTAATCTATGGATTTTAGACGTTTATGGAAAAATATGTAAATGAAAGTTCAATTTGATTGCCTTTTCTAAAAAGAAAATGATAACAGTTGATACTTAGCACTGGACTTTTTTATTTTGTTTTCTTTTTGTTTTGCACCATGCTTTGTTACATTTTTTTGTTCTTCACACTACTTCCCAGAGAAGTCTTTTATTAATCCAGTCCAATATAATGCTGGATGTTCAGGCAGCTAAAGTTAAAAGATGAAGCAGTGTTGAGGAATCAAAACCAGATAAGTATACATGATACCACTAAAATGTGTATTGATATTCAGACCCAATTGTCTCATAGCTGCTATTAATCATTCTGCTAACTATTGAAAGCTGTGCTTCGTTACCTTTGCTACTTCCTGACATCAGAATTTTCTTAATTTGGTATTTCAGTGCATTTCCCTCAGGTACACCTTTCAACAGGGGTGTATGCACATTTTTATGCAGCTTATGGCTGAAGTAATTAATTTCTAATTAGAATTAGAAAGTTAGTTTAAAAGTTGCATGGTGTTAAAGGCACAAGAGGTAAAACATTTGCTTTGGTGGATACACCATCTACTGTATTGGGGCCTATAATAACTTAAATAATTAATATTTGTAATGATCAGTCCACAAATTAACTGGAAATAAACATAGCAGCTCAGATTTATGAAGAAGGCGAAATTCTGCTTTAAAAGCTTGGATGTATAGTGTATAGCGCCATTAATAAGATTTCTTGGCCATTGAGTAGGCAATTTCTTTTCTTTCTTTCATTTTCCCAGGCACTTAAATGAAAGTGCAGTTTAAAAGCATGTTGTTTACTCAATTTATTTTGAAAAGACACTGCTGAATGTAAAAATGATTCAAAAAAGATTTTGAATCTTTCGAGGTAGAGCTTTTCTGAAAGAAAAGGGTCTAGTAATATATATATATATATATATATATATATATTTTTTTTTTTTTCTACATTTAAGATCTTTGTTTTTTTGTTCAATTTTTGTTGCCTACTGGAACATTTCAGCTCCTATTTATTCCTGCTCCTGTGTATGTTCATCTGCTAATCTGCCCAAAACACAAGGAATATGTTTTGATTCCTCATGCATGCACCAATGAAAAGCGTAACAGCCACACTTAAAGTCGCTGCTGTTAGATTATAATAAATGTTGAAGGGTGTCAGTTGGAATTTTCCTCTAGAGTGTGCATGACAGTTGTGGTGATGCAAAAATATGCACAATGTGCAGGAGAGTGCTTTTACAATGCTTTCCCACCATTTTACATTTATTGCTATAAAACAAATTCTTTGTTCAAATTGACTAATTCCAGTGAATTTATTTGTGTGTGCTGCTTTTATGCATGCACCTTCGCCTGTGTCTGTTGTCTGCTCTGGGGAAATCATTAAACATATGCGTAGAAGCCTGAACCGACTTTGCTATGTTAGCAAGCTCCCCTAGCTGGTCACAGCTTATCACAAATTATGAGCTTGTTTATTCTGGCAGCATTTGTGATGTTGTTGCTGTGAGTTTATTCCTGCTGTGCCATTGCACTGCATTTCCCCAAAATAATTTAGTAGTACGAGCTTTTATATTTAGCTCACCTATTCTAAGGTCTGGTGTAATATAGCATACATAATATGCACGATACTAAGTGATAGAAAAGAAATCCATAAAAGGATGACAGAACTGCTCTTTCTGTGCAAATATTGTTTATATAATAATTTACGCAACAATACACAATGTAGTTCTAATTATACAATAATTTATCATTCTACCTGAAACCTGATCAGTTAAACTTTTATTATAAACCATAAACACCCCCCATCACTCATTACTCCCCATAACTTGATGTATTATTATCAGTAAACAATACATTTTGTTACCATTTTTTCACCATCCTCATCAAGGTCAACTAGTGAAAGCCACATGTTTGAGTTTGAGTCGACTTCACAAACTTTTTTCTTACCAGTAGTAACTCTAATACTACTAGCTAAGCACGACGGTAACCTGAAGGTCCCGGCACACTCTTACATCCTTACCTAACATGCTTTACAAGACAGAGAAGGAGACTCTTCTTCCACATAAGCACTGATTTCTTTTATTTGCTTTCCATTATTTCCCTTTACTCTAGAGATCATTTTAAAAGATAATCAATTTGAGCTGATCACAATATGCATTTCAGCGGATAAGAAATTATGATAATGATCTGTAATATAGCCCCAGCTGAGAAGGCTAATTCATGTTTATATTGCTTCTGCTCTCACCTTCTGCTTATTGTTCCCCAGATAAACCTCAGGTAACATGCAAGAACGTTTTTTGTTTTTTTTTTACTATGTAATTTGTCTCAAGAAGAAAAACTCATTGTGCGTTATTTTAAGAGTCTAATAGAACACCATGTATAGTAATTAACAATAAATGTGACCATAAACTGTCAGTTCAGTTACTAGTGTGTAAACGATTTGTCAGCGATGGAGAGCAGAACAAATTTTGATGTTAATTGTGTATGAGTTGTGCGTTGTGTGTAGTGAGTATTAAACATTGCATATGCAACATGCCAGCTGTTTCTAGTGATATAATGATTTAATGTAACAAAGTAGAAGCTCAAAAGGTAAAATTGGGATAGGATATTGATTAATAATAACATAAACCTGAGACCTAATCTCTTGCTAACTGTTGTAGATGAACATTTCCATAAAAATGACAGAAAACATTTTTGCAGCTGCTTTTAATTTGTATTCTTTATTCAGTGCCAAATATCAACTTTTTCCAATGAAAGAAATGTCCACATCTGACTTTCTCTTTAAAAGAAATTCACAAAATGGTTGAAATGTATAAAATAAATACAGTAGAGAAGCTCTCCTATTTCGGTGCTGTTTCATAATTCACATCTCCTCAAAATTATGTAAAATGTGTATAGCACAGTAAATGCTACGGAGAAAGTCTTTAAGAAAGAGTCAATAAGCATAATAAATTAATATTTTGTGGCTGTTGCGGGAATCCTCAGAACTTGCAGCAGAAGCCGCAGCCCTTGTTGCTTCGGCAGCAATTGCAGCACCAGCGGCACAGGGAAAGATGGCTCTGACGCTTTTGCCTGATGTGATTTGGCATCTGTGGGAAAGACAAAAGACGTGAGCAAGGTGTTCAACTCCATCCGCTCTATATACCAAGGTACTCTGCAGGGAAAATGCATCCACTTAAATTTTAATTTGCTCTTGGTAATTGGTTTAATTCATTCAGTCGATTGAACATACCATTGATGACTCCGCTGACATCTCTTGATGTGCCACAACTGGAGTGTCATTGCTCCCTGCCTCCTCCGGCTCTTGCACCTGTTAATGAATTATGCACATTGAGGAGGCGCATCTCAGCGTCCTGGCAAAACATTTATATCTAATAAGCAAATGAAGTGAGTTTAAGACGAATTCTTACCCCAGCAAATGGGATGGCAGAGCTCTCCAGAATGCAAATAAAGGCGAGCACGAGTGTCACTGCAACTGCAATGCTGAATGCCTTCATTTTTGTCGGGGTTTAAATGGTTAAGTTGTTTTACCCTTTGAAGATTAGAGTTGATGGGTCTTCCCTCTCATGGGTGCCGGTGCAGCGAAGAACACCACAATACCTTCAATTTATTCTTCAGGTCCAGTGATGGATGGTGATTGCCTGGGCAAGTGGATTTCTTTAGATATTTCACTGACCCTTGTCAGCTCGTGTCCTTCTCCTGTTTGATGGTATGCTGACTGTGTTGGTTTTTATACACAGTTGGGCTCAGTATTGCCTCATCGCTGCTGGAGGCCCAGCCCTTTCCTGGCAACAGTTACCCAATTCCAATGGGGAAGTTTTTGACCTCTTCATTTCTCCTTACTGTAGTTCTGCAATACTAGGGGAAATTCACTGATCTATTTTTGATTGTGGGGTCCCAGTGTCTGAGAAAGATATGAAATCATCTACAGACTTTTTAAGGGAATAACTTTCCACTGTGAGAACATAATTCCACACATGAACACGCTGCTGGAGACCATTATTTTTACAATCTCTGAGAGCAATATGTATTATGTAAATTGGACTTTTGTTCTGGAGGAACCCTGGTAAGAGCACAGTACTTTCTCCAGCAAAAGGCCTAGACAGCATAGGTCAATCTATTGCATGGCTAACTGAGTCACACTTGTTTCGACCCAGGAAATCCTTCACTAAGGAGAAGGAGCCACTTTGGAATATCCATTGCTCAGTCTAAAGGATGTAATTACAACCTCTCAAATGGAATAATTAGCCCCTCATTTTCAACACGTTCAGTTTTTGCATAATACACAGGAACCTGCAGTTGAACCAAATTAAATCCCTTTGAGAGCTGGAGAGTAGTAGCCAGGATTAAAAAGCTCCATTTGAGAGTCAAGGTGTTTCAATATGCAAGAGTTAAAGATGAATATAAAATAATGTAGTGGGGTTTATTATGTGTTGACAACAAAGAATTGCATTGTTTCTGGTATTTTAATCTGCATCTGCATCTGTTCTATGTCATAGTTTTTATTCTTTCATGCATCATTCTTAGAGCAGATAATTAAGAACCAACATACAAAATAACAGCTGCTTTTGTTTCCTCAAAACATTTCTCATTTCCTGGCAATCTCATAGTTTCTGAATAAATTTCAAACTGTGCACAATTAAAAACCATGTTTATTTAATGGCATAATAATAACAACAGCAGACTGCTCACAGTTTTGTTGGAAAACCGGATTTCTCATTCCTTCCTTTGCTACTGAAGCCATGAGAAACACCTACAGATTAATTAACCAGTCAGTGGAAGAAAACTATTCCACAGGAACATCAGGCTGTGAATAAACACAAAAATCAATAATGGTGGAAATGAAATAAGAAAACGGCTAAATAAAGGAACAAACTGATAAATGATCGCGCTGTGGAGGCTGATAAAAATCAGAGGCCATTTGAATTCTCATTATACCTTCAAAGTCTTTCCAATCGCCCGTCCTGACTCAATTAAGGAACAACATGTCACAGGACCTCTGCGTCAGTCTGTCTCGTTTACTGATAACCCCGCTGGCCCACATGCTTGCTTTGGGTGACCACAACATCAGTGTCAACAAATACAGCCACGAATGGCTCCGCATTTGTTGGAACACATCCATAGTTTTATCATTTTTACAAGATCATCACATTTTCATTACTTACTATGCATTTGATTTTTGTCTTTTATGCTCACGTGTGAGGAGAAGAGGCTCTAATCCTATATCTAGTCCACGTTATGTCTTCAAATAATGAACATGTCATTTTATTTGATGTGCTTCACTAAGCATGACTCGTGAGATGCGAGATCTGACGCTTGTTAACAGTACAAAGACAAAAGTAATATATCCAGTTTCCCCAGAGTGTAAAAAAAAGAAAAGAAAAATTAAAGATCTGACGTTGAAGTTGTTTTTTTTAAGAATTCATAGCAGAGTTTTCCAAGTGCACATTTTGTCCTGTTTTCCTGGGCGCCCCTGTCTGTTAGCAGTCCCTGTGGCTATCAGTAGGAATCTACTTGCCAAACAAATGCCGGCACCAGCATGGCGGACAGATTCACCTCAGCAGGCGCCACTCTACCAGTTTCTTTGCCCCCGGTCGAGGACATTGCCCCCGTCTGTCTCTGTTTCATCATCATACCCTACTGCTGTCCCCATCCATTTGTCACCCCTCCTCCCCCTTGCTCCTACATGCTTTATAGGCTGCTGTAAGACAATCCATACATTATATCTGCCAGCTGCCAAAGCCATCACACAAAAACAGTGCCCCTCGATGCAGTCAACCATTTCCCTAAATACGTCTTCTCTCAAAACTGGGTCACGAGTGAACCAGTGTTGGGACATCACTCAGGGGGGAGGAGTATGGAGTACAGGTTAATGGGTTGCTGGTCAATGCAGGGACTTTCCCTGTCAGCGTGGAGTGAGAGGCAGGTTACAATATGCTACTGGAACTTCCAAAATTTCAGTAAGTAAGACCAGTCCTAATAGATAAAAATAACGGGCAAGAGAGCACTTATTCATGCTACCATAGCAACTTCAACTAAACAATGAATGAAAAAATTTAAATTATAAACTGTACACTCAGTACACCCTTGCTGCATGTCATTGTGCAGCTCTACTGCCTGGTCTCCTTTCATCTATTTTCAAAATCTATTATAAAATCATAATGTGCCCCAAAAAAGAGGGCTAAAAAAGCTAAACATTACAAAGAAAAAAAAAGTACTTTAAGCTATGAAATGTTTTAATTTGTCAAACAGATTTTGTCTCTCAGAGGTACCTTCAGATACAACACATGGGGGGAAACCAGCTTAACACCGAGGTGAGATTTCTTTTAGTCTTGGATAGAAGTCTAAAGAACACAATAATTGCAGTCTGCTTGAAAAAAAAAGTATGAATTAGCTTTTCAGCATCTAGTATCTCATGAGCAACTACACCATGGTGATATTTCAGAGTGGGAAGATGACTCCTTTCCCCCATTTCCCTCATAATGGAAAGCATCTTTTGCCATGTCAGTGTAAAAGCACACCTGGGGTTGTCTGCCAAAGTGAAAGGCTTTACTCATAATTTTCCAGTCAACCGTGTTTCATTTAAATGTAGCATCTATACATGATATTTTATAGCTTAAAAAGATGTTAAATCTTTGTTTGGTTAAACTGGCTTTTGCACAGGGTATAATCCACTCAGTGAGCTCTACATATACATTTATTTTTCCTGAACTGAGATTTTTGGTTTCTCAGAAACACCAGATCCATGATAAAATGGCGATGCCAGACAGGGAGATATTCAGTGTTTATCCCCAGTGATGGTACTTCAAACAATACGTTTGGTGCAATCCAAACTACATGACCCACAGCTTTAAGACAGAGACACGTGTCTTTCAACACGTGCACCAGTTTGATGCGTCAGTTTGATCAGTGCTGGAAATACTGTCGAATATGACACTCTGGATGCACAAAAAGGCGAAACGAAAAAACAAACAAAAAAAAACTATGCTCCATTTATGACAGCAGCAGAATACAAACCTTTGTGCTGATACTTCTCTTATGAGTGTGACAGGTGCTATGTCATTATTAATGTACAACCAAGAAAGATGGTAAGTGTGGTGTGAGGCACATTGTATGTCAGGTGGAATAAGACTCTTTCTGTCAGGCTTTTTCAACAAATAACCTCAGAGAGAGGGGGAATGTGTAACAAGCTCGGGCAGTGGACAATACATGCTCCTGACAGTGTGCTCCTGTAGCTAAAAAAGCACAAAGGTAAGACAAGCCTGCAGGCCATGAAACTGTGGCTTTCCAGGAGAATGTTTTGGCCAGCATGAGTTCAATGAAAATCACTCAACCGTGTCCTTTGGTAGATGTGTACACACACACACACACACACACCGAAAAAATTTAAAAAGGACTTATCCAAATCACATAAAGGATTTTATAGAAGTGGCTTTTTCACTCCCTTCCTCCAGGCAAATGTGCAGCAGACATTCACTGAGTACTGACCAGACCTAAACCACTGATTCAAATCCATTAAATACAATTTCGGCAATAACAATCCATTGCTCAAAGCGGAGAGACTTTCCTCTTCCAATTAATACATCAATTAATTCTAAGTGATTTATCTGGTCTTAGAGGTGAAGGTTGAACTCCCTGGTACATGCTTCCTATAACATTTATTAAAGAAACATGTCTTTATGTCATTTCATTTTCCTTTCCAAATCAGTATTATTGCAGCTTTGCCTGACTCGATTCAGAACGCTTTCGGGGTGAAGAAGGAAAACAGACAGACGGAGAGAGACTACGCATGTCCCAATCAGAGAGGTACGTGGGATCAGAGATCATCCACTTCAAACAGAAACGGGGACACACAGACGCCTGCCTGCCTGCTTGGTTGTCTATGCATGTTTAAATGGCAGCTGACAAGCCTGAAAACAAAACCAAATCAAATTTAGCACATACTCTCAGTCAAGTGAATACTCAGTGCATGTGTTACTGTGTCTGTGCAAACAGCAGTCTACATATATCTCTATCTATCTATCTATATAAAATAGCAGCTTCTCTTTTAAGAGCAGCAGAATGTAGCCCTGCCCAACGCAATCTCACTAAGGGCTTGGATATAGCTTTCATCCATCATTGATCTTTCTCCCCCAAGGTGCCCTCTATATTTTCTAAATACTTACCAGTGTGTTGATTGTGTGGATTTGAGTACACATGGGACACGTAACCCATAGTAACTCTATCCTTGCAAGAGAAAATTCGAAAATATATTTAAAACTGTATCTCTGTTCCACACTGACAAGACAATATAACCCTATACCCTGCACGTTTTGTTGAGAATATAGACATTTTTGTGTTAGTTCAACCTGCCAACTGTTCACAACAATAAAGACGTATTGTCCCAAATTACTAACTAACATGCCCAGGAGCTGGACCAGATCCCTGCCACATGCACATCTAAGTGAAAGGCAGTGGTTATCATGGACACCCATGCTTCTTCCTGCAATTATGTCCAAAGACTGCTGTGAAAAAAGCAAATTTTAAAGGTAGTCAAATCCAAGACTCTCAACTGGTGGCAAATGAAACGTAGTGTTCCACTGTTGAGCCACATATAGCAAAAACCACATCGACTTTTAAAAATTACTCAGATTAGAGCCATCAGCAACCTTTAGAACCACATTGCGAACAGCCGCTCCGCCATACTGCACCAA